TGTTAATTTTAGGCTTTTACAAGAATGAGTTCCAGCTTTTAGGACACCTTATGTAAGAGTAAAGTACCATGAAGGATAAGTAAATAAAAAAATTTAGTTTTTTTAATCATTGTGATACAACCTCGAAACAGTGTACCACTTGTTAATTTGTATACTAATACTATTTTAGAAGAAGTGTTTAAAGTCTAGGCCTTAGTATTTAGAAAAATAATAATTTTTTACGCAAAACTGTTAATATCGAGTGAAAGCACCTACCCACTGGGTAGTATCCTCCCTGGAATGGATTATGACATGAGGTTTGATCAGAACCGATATCAACGAGCAGCTCCCCAGTCGTTCGATAAATCTCTGCCAAGCGCTCCCACACTTCAACGACATTGCCTAGGTAGCCAATACTGACTGCGAGTGGAGCTTTGCGATAATGACGGATACGTTCGATTAACTCATTGAGAGAATCAACTCGTTCCGTTAGCCAACCTTGCTCAAGTCGTTTCTTGAGTGCCTTCTCACAAACCTCAGCAATCACTGCGATACAGCCGATGATTACACCTGCTTTAGCCTGTTTGAAAAATAATATCAAACATACCAAAATGGAAGTGAAGACTAAGTATGAAATTATTCTGTCTTATATATGACCGTATCTAATATGTCCAAGTAAGCAAAGATAATTAAAAAGTTTATCTGAAAATTGTGCATTTTGGTGAAATTTATATTTTTATATGCTTGGAATGCCTAAAAAACACTGACATTCATTCAAGCTCATTTCAAATTAATTAAGTATCATGATCAAAGAACAAGAATGCTATTTTCTAATTTCAAAACATCTTAGTCTACCTGACGAAATAGGAGGTGATATTTGTTTTTAGTCCTTATCCAACTACTAAATTTCAGACTTGCAATTGAATATACATAGCCTTCTTTCACATACTGCGTTCTCATCCAGAATGGACATCATCTACGCCTCATCAGTACCCCTATGGAAATGTCAACCACTACGCCACATTGTAACTATGCTTGCGGATAACAGGGCAGACGTAAATTAAAGGAAGGCCGGGCCTTTCTACATCCATTTATTTTGTCGGATTATCGAGGAAGCAAATCAACTACATTACATATTTCTGCTTACAATTAACTTTACCAGACCTTCGATACTTTGATATCCTTAAATAAAATTGAATGAGTACCTCTCATATTTATGATCTACTTATAAATGAAAAGAAGTAATCTAGTCTATTGTAATAGCAAATACGACGTTGCTTTATCGACAATCCCACCATAGAAAATGATATACGAAAAGCCTGACTTTTCGAAAATTCACACATGTTCTGTGGCCGAAGAGCAATCGCGACAGTGCGATATATGTGTTGGCGTATAGGGTCGATACTTCGCATAACGCGGGTACGAGTGCCTCTGGGGTGGCTGATGAGACCTAGGCGAGGTATAATCCACCATGGATGAGAGCACATTTAGAGATGCAAGGTTGTGTGAGATTCAATGGAAACCTAAAGTATTTGTATATCATTCTGGGGAACTTCATCAGCCATTCCCTAATGACCTTAAAAATAATATGGTTTATGCATCTAATATATATGTTATTGGTAGCCCCCAATACTAGGCACAAAAAATACCTTTATTAAAAGTACAGCAGTTTGCGAAATCCTTGAAATAGCAAGGAATTGGTACCATATGTTAGGTCTTAGATACATAGCAGTAGTTCTAC